TAAACTTGCCCAGCTGGTCGGTTGCAAACGTGGAGCAGACGGCTGTATATGAGCCCCCTGGCTAGGTCGGAATGTTCAGCAAAAGAGCAGCCACGGCCGGTAGTCTCCGCTGTCGAAAGCAACGTCCCGAGAGCGGACGCTGGAAACACGCTTGCCCGTCTGAACACACTATCTTGACGTGCGTGGCTAGCTCAGGATTCGCAGTCTCAAGGATAATAGCAATATCACATGCCTCTAAGATATCGATCCTGAATTGTGGATTTGCAGGGTATTTTGGTGAATCTGCGTTGCCTCCAGCAGTTGTTGTCGTCCATGCAGCAGGGAGCTTCTTAACATACCCATATCGCTCAGTGGCGTGTGAAATAGATAGAGGCGCTATAGAGAATCCGGATAAAGAAAAATTCTGGCTCGACCTCCGTAGGGACTGCTCTGCAGCCACAACCGTGTAAACAGTATTTGGAGGCATCTCAAATCTCATTAGTGTGTTAGGCGAATCCACATAAGCACCCCGACCTAAGGCCCCATCGCTCACGCAGACTCTTTGGCCTCCCTTTTTGAAAACGTAAATGCTAATAAATCCGGGTTCATCACTTTCAGAGGACACGTCTATAAGCTGCTTTCCAGGTCTGATGTAATCTCCAGAATTGAAATGTCGACTAAGCAAGAGCCAGACGGAGCCTCCTGCTTTGGAACCAACCGCAAACTGTGGATTTTCAGCGAAGCAGCCGGGAACGGAACTGGCAGAAGAAAGATCCCAAGTAAAATGGATATCCTGCCGATAAGGAAAGAGCGTCGGGTTCCAATTTAAATATAGATTTTCGAAATTTTGAAGCAGTTTATCACAATCAGTCCAGAATGTTCCTGGGGATAGAGGGCGATGGATCTGGTGCTGGTCGTGTTTGTATTCACTGGCACCTTCAGTATCAGGAAGGTGGGATTGTCCAATCCCTTCCCAAACGGAGCCAGCTGCCCAAGGATTCTTGACAAGGAATTGGCGACGGCTGTTGTCTTCCTTCATATCAAGAATTGCATAGTCATGCAAGCTCACAAGGCCAAGTTCCTCTTCTTCCTGTTCAGCCAATGATCCTGTGCCAACAGTGATTAATACGTCTCCATGGTTAAATGCATTGAACAGTCGTTTCCACAGCTGATCCGAGATGACGTCCTCGTCGTGCAGAAATATTTGTTCCGGAATCCAGCCGGTGAGGATCCAAAGGTCTGTCCCCGAATTGCTTCCGGGGAAATCATAGCCTCCTCTAACCTTTAAATATGCCTTTTCGGCCAGTGCTGGCCATAGCAATGCCGGGTTTTGCCTGTCAATGACATGAAGGAACCTCGAAGTTTTAGAGGAGGGGAGTTGATCGTCAATTATAACTTTCCTGTAACATCCATTAAAATGCATTTGAAATATGTATTTCCCTGACTGTGATATATTTGGGCTGAATGTCTGCTCCTCTGACGGGTAAGACTTGATTGCGAGGACCTAAAAGTATATACATCCAATTTTTAGCTGCGTTCTCATTGTTGGTTACCAGAATTGATTGGTGGGTAAGCACACGCATTCATGCCTTTGAATATCCCCTTTGCACTTGAGATATAGTGGCACAAAGGCTTGCAACAACGGAGCAATCCGTCGTAACATCCTGTACTAGATCTATGGGTTGTTCATTTTTCATAACTAGGGTATGACTCCCCCCATAATCATTAGCCACTCCGGCCCCTAAGATGTCCGCAGGCCGTTTCCAGCCATTGAAAATCTCGCACTGTAGCTCTGAGAGCGGAAGATCGCACGAGTCCCTATTGCGTAACGGATCAGACACGGTCATCCTTCACCATGGAAAAGGGGCATGTTACGACGTCAGCTTGA